AAAAAAAAAAAAATATTGGCTGAATAATTAGGAGGGACTGCTTTGCCTTACTATTTATCAGAGAAATGACAAATAAAAACAATAACAAGATGCCATTTCTCACCCAGCAGCTTGGCAAAGTCTGCTAATATCAAGTGATGTTGAAGATGTGTGGAAACAGGGACTCCTACCCGCCACTGGGAGAAATGTATATTGGTATTGCTACTTTGAAGTATCTAGAAAAATCTGAAAACACCTCCTTTATCTCAGCATTTTCATGTCTAGAGCATACTCTCTAGAGCAGTAGTTGTCAACCTTCCTAGTGCTGCAATCCTTTAATACAGTTCCTGTGGGTTGCGACCCACAGGTTGAGAACCGCTGCTTTAGAGAAACCCTTGCGTGTGTACATATGGAGACACAGCATTGTTTATACGTGTGAAAACTCCCTTTTCTGCTGTCAAATTCTAGATAGTGTCTGCCAGAGTATTCTTTGTATTTCTCTGTAGTTTTATGATTTCATACACACAGAATGGCTTTAGGTGGACTTCTGCACAAGGAAAACAGAAAGGCACTCTATTATAACCTTTCTTTGGGGGAGCTGGGCATCCCTGGTCCTGATGGCCTACTTTAGCAGAAATAGTTATAAGGGGACTTTTACACAGTGGTGCATACTCCCTGGCCATGAAGCAAAGGAATTTTATTCCTTCTTGCTGATGAGGACAAAATCCAAAAGGGCTTGAAAAGCAGGAAAAACTATTTTCTGCCAGAGAGTAAGGATCAGGTGAAAGGGAGCTAGAGAGAGGTATATAAAGAGTGTTAAGCTGAAATCAAAGCATTTCACCTTTTTTTGGTCTTTTTTTGAGATAGTCTCACTTTGCGGCCCTTGGTAGAGTGCTGTGGCATCATAGCTCACAGCAACCTCAAACCCTTGGGCTCAAGTGATTCTCTTGCTTCAGCCTCCCGAGTTGCTGGGACTACAGGCATCTGCCACAATACCGGCCTATTTTTTAGAGACAAGGTCTCGCTCTGGCTCAAGTTGGTCTCGAACTCATGAGCTCAGGCAATCCATCCACCTCAGCCTCCCAGAGTGCTAGGATTACAGGCCTCATCATTTTTAAAATGAGAGCATCTCCAGTTCTTTGGCTTTCAAATCTCCAGGGAAGAGGTGCCTTTCCTGTTCCTTCAGTTGTCAGCAGGCAAGGGCCCTCTGGATGGCAAATAAGTGGGCATTCAGGTGAAGCCATTTAAGAAGGGTTTTAGGACAGCTCTTCTGCTCTTAAGTAAACATTGATTAAAAAAATCTCCAGGAGTCTCCATTTTATCAGCCCATCTTTAAATGCATCAACTGAAACAGTCATTTGAGTTAACCAGCTACTCTTAAAAGATGCAGGTTAATAAAGCTGCCATTCACTAATGGGCCATCTGCCTCAGTTTTGCTGCCTGCACACTTCCTTGTTCCTCCCTTCTCTCTCCCCTGGTCAGTCAAGTCAGAGGGGAACCTTGGGAGGGGAAGTGGAAATGCTTGACTGGAGGGGTGAGTTTGAAATGCCAAAACTAACACCATTTATTCTTATTGCCCCACCCTTTTTCTCCATCCCACTTGACCACTTCCAGGGCATGGGTGATTCATTCCCCATTTACTGAACATTTACAATGTGCCAGACCCTGTGCTAGCCCGCAGCATAGAGCAGGGGTGTCTAAACTCTTTTTATCCTCTGCTGAACATAGGAAGAGTAAGAGTTGTCTTGGGCACACAATAAATACACAGATATCGACAAAAGTTGATTATGGTCCGTGCATACTTTTCATGATGCTCCACACCACAGATAAGCAAAAAATGTCCCCATGAAATCACTATGTGGCCCACAGGCTGCAGGTTGGACACCCCAGGCACATAGCACAGGAGCATTTAACAGTCCTGATAAGGAAGTTACTGATAGGGGCAACTCAAGAGGAAAGAGGCTCTAATGAACCAGGAAGAGAAACCCTATCTTCTAAAAGTTTGTTTTATAAAGTAGTGTCTTACTATCACATATACAAAATTAAAAAGAAGAACCAAAGGAAATCCTTTTTTTTTTTTCTCAGACTCCTACTATCTGATACAGAGACAAGTAGCATCAATTACTACCCTTAGCACCAGAGTCAAGGCAGGCAACCCTGATAGGCCACCAATGATGTCATCCTGGTCCCTACATCTCAAACTCTTGTCTGATTGGCTGGGGCAGCTGTGTTCTCATTTCTGCTCTTCCTCCCACCCCCAGAAATACATGCACAGAAGCTTTTTCCAGAAAGACTGGATAAACTGGTGAAATGCATTAACCCCTTCCTTTCAGCCAGCACAGATGTTACACATATCCTGGATATATGTAATTAGAATTGCCAACATGTCCACCTAACACAGGTTAGCAGCTAACACAGCCAAGCACAAGCTCATGAAGTGCTTATACAATAAGGAAATGATGTTACTTATGTACAATTTCAGAGCTGCAGGGACCCAAACCAATGTTTATACAGATGGCAAGCAGTTGTGGAGTAAAGTTTGGGGTGGGGAGGGGCGTCTTCTACTTGATGTACCTGAAAGTCTTCTCCTGTGTTCAATATTATTTATTATCAGACCCTAACTCCAAATAGACTCTACTGAGAAAACTCTTTTGATCACAAATCTGGGTAAGCAGATATTTCAGCTGTGCAGTAGTGGACAAAGCCCTGGACAAAGGAGCCAGCAGACCTGGCTTCAAGTTTCAGCACTGCCGTTAATTGTGTTCGTGGACAAGTCATTTAACCACTCAGTTCCCTGAACATTCTTAATGTTTATGCTTTGTTCAAACCCCTCAGCACAGGCTGTATACCACTGCACCTAACCAACTGTTTTGCAAATTCATGGTCAGAGAAGAAATGAATCAATATGATGATGAATCGAGAGCATCATGTTTATGTAAGAAGGATGGTGTTGTGATTAATCAACCACCTTGCTTGCTAACTATGCCTTGATATTCATTGAAATGCATCCTTTTAGTTTCCATAAAGAAAATAATGTTGGAGGAAAAAAATATTAGCAAACCCAGCCCAGGTATATATCTCTGTCCTTTCTCTCCCACACATCTCTCTTCCTGCTGTCGTGAGCCTATTTCAGGTGCTGTCAGCTGCCATGTAGACTAGTGTGACAGGTTCCTAACTGGTACTGTCACTACCAGTTTTCCTCCTTTCTAGTTGTCCTACCCCGCCACCATGTGATGATAATTCCTATTGAATTGCTTTAATCACAGAACCCCCCCTTCAAAGAAACTTCCCACAACTACCCTAGCATACCAAGCAAAATCCCAACTCCTCAATCCAGCCCTCTAAGATTTCATTCCAACCTGCTTTTCCGGCTGACTTTCCAGTCATACTGCTTGCATTCCCACCTCTGTGCCTTTGCTGACATTATCTGCAGTAGCTTTCTCCCCATCATTGCCCAGCAAACTCCTACTCATTCTCCCAAGGCCAAACTCCAATGTTTTCTTCTCCTCATCCCTGATCAGAAGTGTAAATTTCTTGGGCACTTTATCCACGGCAATCTTATGCTACCTTGTGTGTTAGGGTTATGAACATAGTGGTCTTATTTTTCTACTACTCTATAAGGTCCTGGAGCACAGGGACGATGCCCCTTTCATTCTTGCATCGTCTCTAGTGTCATGCACACAGTGGGGATTTAATATAGCCTACCTAAATCAATGCCAAATGAATGTAGAGAGAAAGACAGCATGATATGAAAGAAAGAATGTGGGATTTGGAGTCTGAAGGCCAGGTGGTGGACCTCTGCTCTGTCACTGATGTATGGTGTGACCAGTCTGGGCCTAATTCTGCATCTGTAAAATGACCATTTCCTACTCTATGGACCTTACAGTGCAGGAGGCAGGAGTTGTAAAAATCTAATGTTTGTACACTAGTTGATTAGCACAGGAGCCATGATACTTAAAACAGCGTTTGAAATTCTACCCTCCCCCTTCTGTACAGGATCTATTCCAGGGGTCCTCAAACTTTTTAAACAGGGGGCCAGTTCACTCTCCCTCAGACTGTTGGAGGGCCAGACTGCGGGCCCTGGGACGAGTCGACTGCTAAGCAGGACAGGCAGCGGTGGCAAAAACACCTGGCTGGCCGGATAAATGTCCTAGGCGGGCTGCATGTGGCCTGCAGGCCGTAGTTTGAGGACGCCTAGTCTAGTCCATCCACAGGAAGATCTGCATACCACTTTGTGGAGAAGAGGATGAAACAGGAAGACACTGAGTCATTAAAACTCAGAGGGGAGACTCTGTGCCTGTAGCTCAGTGGTTAGGGAACTGGCCACATACACTGGGCCCAGCAGTTCGAACCCAGCCTGGGCCTGTAAACGACAATGACAACTGAAACAAACAAAAAAATAGCTGGGTGTTGTGATGGGTGCCTATAGTCCCAGCCACTTGGGAGGCTGAGGCAAGAGAATTACTTGAGCCCAAGAGTTTGAGGTTGCTGTGAGCTGTGGCGCTACAGCACTCTACCCAGGGCGACATCTGTCTCAAAAAAAAAAAAAATGCCAAAACAAAACTCAGAGGAGAACTGTTTATAGACTGCAAGCCAGATGTTCCTAAGGGCAAGGGGAGCTAGGGAGGGAAGAGAGGCGATGACCCTACCCAGGAGTCTCTCTCCAGAGGAAAAGAAAGGAACTCTATTCCTAAGCACAGGCCAAATTGAACGCTGGCCTGTGGGACTCAGGAAGAATGATTCTGCTGCCAGGTAAGCATTCCAAGTGATGGTGTTAGCTGCCAAGGCTGAACTATGTGGTCAAGACAAGACTGGCTCTGACTGTGGTCTGTCTAATTCAGAACCAAGACCTGTCCTCAAAAATGACACTGTGCCCATCAAATGAGGAACACAAGGCCCATTCCCGTCAAAGATAGAAACATCTTCCCTTCCTGAAATGCATCTCTGCCATTTCATTCTTTCAGGCTAGGTTTCCAGTTCAAATGCAAATTCTCTGAGCCGGAAGCTCTGGACTGCATTTACATTTTAGATTTTTTCCTAGGGAGCAGCTATTGATGTAAGAAAAGGTGAGAAAAGCCCCTTTTGTGGCCAGCGAGCAGCAGGGAAGCTTGGGAAGGGGAAGCTCTGTTAAACCCTAAAGTCAAGCTTCACTTAGGTGGGGGGATGAGTGGGTGGATCTGTGGCCTTTTCGTGTTAATGGATTGGGCCCTTGGTCACACACACACTCACTCAACTCTCGTCCTAAGCCAGCCAAAGCAAAAGTTGTCAAGTTGGTGGACAGTGGGAATGGTCAGGATTCATTTCCCTGGAGATCTCTTTATTCCTTTCCTCAAACCTCTTTTCCCTACATCCCTCCTCCTCCAGCCCATCTTTGAAAGCCTCTCTGGGCCAGGCTCAGGGCCAGAGCCGGAAAACTGCACCTTGTAGGGAAGGGATCCCTAGAACGTGAAAACACTGGGGACTGTTCTCTGGGGGCCCTACGTGTGGCCTTCTGGCCCAGCCGCAACAATGGGTTCCCACGTGACCCGGAAGGGGGCCGTCCCCACTTGGGGGCCCAGATTCCCGGGCGCAGGGCGGCCTCAGCCGAGGCCCCCCGCCCCCGCCCCGTCGGCCTCCGGCTCCCCGGCCCCGCCCGCGCCGGCCCAGCTCTTACTTGCGGTAGGCGGCCAGCTGCACCGCGCTGCAGGGGAAGAGGCGCAGGCAGGCCACCGCGTTGCCCTTCCACAGGGCCCGGGGCCCCTCGGCCCGCCACACCC